GAGAGAGAGAGAGAGAGAGAGAGAGAGAGAGAGAGAGAGAGAGAGACCTTGGTGTAAAGCAATCTGCTTTCAAAAAAGTTCCTACCCTTAAAAACCCTCCGGAAAGTGGCTCTACTCTGACTACATGGACTCAGCCCCGAGTCGTGTGGACTGGTAAGGTCTTTGTGTGGCTCCAACTGGAGACTCAAATCCGTCTGGCATTGAGTAGGGACTCAATACATTTCCACTGTTTCAAAGTGGCAGAGTTGGGCCCCTCATTCTAGGCTATTACAATATCTGTGACCCACCCCCACCCCCCGCGCCCTGATCCATCATACCACGTCTTGTGATGAGGCCATATGCCCTAAAGTCTAATATTCCTGCCTGGGGGGCTGGCACTTCTTTCCCTCCCACCCCTCCCCTATAGACTCCCCTGCCCATCAGCAGACTTTATTTCCCCATCCGCCACCACTGGACCTCAAGTCCCCTCCTCGATGGATTTCCCGCCACTCCCCGCCTCCTTGGGTCATTCATATACAATTGCTGTATTTTATTAGCTCTCTTCCATCATTCTAGGAGGATCAATAGCTGGTGGTTTGATTTCAAAGAGGGCCCGAGAAAGGGTGGATGCCGCTCACCAACGTCATCCATCACCGCCCATAAATGTCAGCTGGGCACCTCAGCTTCTGAAAATGGTCTGGCAGAGGCAGGGCTGGACCCTGCTAGCTTCTGGTTGGTGATCCCAGGCAAGCCTGGAATCAGCTCGTGGGGTGGAGAGCTGCCCCCGAGTCCTGTGTAAATCGCTCCCAGCCTGGGTCCAGATAGCTGGTGGCGGCAGGGGACTCCATGGCCCTGGTCCATGAGATGTATCGCTGGGCTTGGAAGGCCCACCCATTGACCAGAGTGTTTGGCTTCAGGCTGCACACTGTGGCCAGGGAATGACCTGTCCACCCAGTGGTTTGACCTGCCACGTGACCCCTAGACCAATTACAGGACTCTTCATTGAACGCAGCTTTCACCCTCTACTTACATTCAAGTCAAGTCCGACGCTTGGTGGTACCAAGACTGTCGGATCCGAACTGTGCTTTAGAGGCCTTCCAATGGCTGACTGACTCAGAAGTAGACCGCCAGGCCTTGCTTCTGAGGCCCTGGCTGGACTCAAACCTCTGACCTTTTGGTGAGCAGCCAAGTGCACTAGCCATTTGCAGGCTCCTCCCCAAGGTTGATTGAGAAGTTTCCATGTTGTCAGTGGGGCTCTGGACCACTGGCCCCTGGGGACAAGAGATGAATCAGAGACAAGTGGGAGAGGGACAGGCTTGTGATTCACAGAGTAGAAGGTCAACCTCCTGATTCAAAATCCACTCTCCTGGGCCCCACCCGCCACCCACCACCCCTGCCTTCTCCCTCACTCCTTATTTCGTTTCCTTCCCTCCTCCCCCTTTCCCTCCTCCTTTCCCTGTTTCTCCGTCTCACCTTTGTTTTCCTTTGCCACGTGTCTAGCCTTTCTCCCTCTGCTTTTCTTGGAGTGTGTGCGTGTGCGCGCACACGCCCCGTCTCCGTATCTCCTGGTGGCCCATTTCTTTGTTCCTCGGTGTCTCTCTTCCCTCTTTTCCTGTCTCTGTATGTACCTCTCTCTCGGTCTCTGGTCTACTCTCCTTCCCAATCATCCCATGATGCATCAAACAGCCTAAAGGGTGAGGGGTTCTGGGCGGGTCCTGCTCTGCAGAAACTTTCTAGAAAGCTGTCGCTTAAGGATCCTTTGCTGCGGCCATGCCTTTGCACGCTGGCATCTGGTGGCATAGTGGGTTACACATTGGGCTGCTCACCTCAAGGTCAGCAGTTCGAAACCACCAGCCTCTCCAGGGGATTTCCACTTCCCCATAAAAAAATGACCGTCTCAGACACACAGGGGGCAGTGTCGCTATGGGTAGGCATCAACTGGCAGTGAGTTTGGTTTTGGTTTGGTGCCATAGCCAATGACAGGGAAAGGGTGCCACCCTCAGCCAGGGGCCCTCCTCTCAGGGTTTGTGTCGCAATTCTTGCTGGACTAAAGGGTGGGCTCATTTTCTGTTCAGAGCGAGCCCAGTGCACCCTTTGCTACTGTGGACCTTAGAGGCCAAATAAGGTGCCGCTTTTCCCACGGTGAGCATCTCTCTCTGTCTGCCAATTGGGGTCCCATAAAAATGAACTTCATACTTTTCAAGTGGGGCCAAACTCCCAGAATGGTTTCCTCTCAGGAATAGGAGTGTTGGGGGTGAGGGGGTGGTACTGTGTATCTGCTGGTGGGCACCTCACGTGGAGACCTCTCGGGTTTGGAACTAGTAG